TCTCTCCTGTTCAGCCTTCTGTCCCTGGTGAGACACCCGTGCAGCCCACTGGCGTCTCTCCTGTTCAGCCTTCCGTCCCTGGCGAGACTCCTGTCCAGCCCACCGGCGTCTCTCCTGTCCAGCCCACTGCTCCCGGCGAGACCCCGGTCGCGCCCACTGGTGTCTCCCCAGTCCAGCCCACTCAGCCACCTCTCACTGGTGCTGCTCGGGCCGTCAAGCCCACTGTCGGTCTCTTGGCTGCAGTCATGGGTGTGATGATCCTGCTCTAAACCCATCCGCTTGGGGACAGAGTATCTGGACATTGGCCATCTCAGATACTAGAAGCGCAACGGTTCGATAAGTTATAATATCCCATTTTGGTTTGTTTGATCGTTGATTACCGTCTGACATTTGATCCCCCCAATCTGTGCTGCTTATAAGAAAAGGAAAAGTTACAAGTTGGATGGCGCAAGGGTTTCTCGTTTGTCAGATAATACCGTACCAGTAATATATAATAATGTTATGTCTTTATACTTTTGGTGCACTTATGAGCAAGGGAAGTCGGGTAGTTGTGCGCATAATAATGCTTGTATACCTGTTGTAGATTTAACGAAGGTCTTCGCCATTGAAAAACAACGTTCCTCACAGCGGTACTGCCCACAGTGTATCCACAATAGCGAGTGACTCGTCTATAACGTATCCCATTGGTATCTGTCTAAATCATATACTCCAGCTCTATCAATCCATGTACAAATCAAAGCGAAGCCCCCCTCCCTTTGAGATACATTACTGCTGCTCATTGACCAGCACGTAACGGTAGCGCGCCTTACCCGCGTGCATATCCACGATGGCGTTGTTGGCATCCTTCATGGGGATCTCCTCAATCCAAGGCTTCACTCCCTTGTCCGCAACAAGCTGGAACATCTCCCGAATCTCACGAGGAGAGCCAATGAAGGAGCTCTCGACCTTCACCCGCCGGATAAGGTTACGCACGTTGGCGAACAGCGTCCCATCCTCAGGAAGGCCGACCTGAACCAAGCTGCCGTTGGTAGCAAGAAGACCCAAGTACTCCGTCATGGGCATCTGACATACATTAGCCTTCTGAGGACTTCTATCTTACGTTGTGAGCCTACCTTCGAGGAAGAAACAGTGCAGACAATCAGGTCCAAGGAACGGGCATATTTAGTAGCCCAGTCCGGCTCATCGTCCGTGGCGATGTATGTATCGGCGCCCATCTGGAGAGAATCGGCGCTCTTGCTCGCCTTACGCGAGATAGCGACGACCTTGTCGGCGCCCATGGCCTTGGCGAATAGAACACCGAAGTGGCCGAGGCCGCCGACACCGATGATTCCGACGCGCTTGCCGGGCCCGCAGCCATTGTGCTTCAGCGGGCTGTAGACGGTGACACCGCCGCAGAGCATGGGGGCAGCCTCGGCCGAGGGAATAGCATCGGGGATCTTGATGACGAAGTTGGACGGGGTACGGTTGTACAGGGAGTATCCGCCGTAGGACTTGCCGCCGTTGAGATGGATGCCGTTGTAGGTGCCGACGATCTTATGAGAGCAGTATTGCTCCCAACCCATGGCGCATTCGGGGCAGTCGCCCAGACGACCCAGACACGAGTCGCTCTGGGCACCGACGCCGACGCGGTCTCCGACCTTGATATCGCCGACGGCTTTCGAGCCTACACGGACGGCAATACCGACGATCTCGTGGCCAACGCAGCAGGGGTATTTGGTAGGGCCCTGAGGTTGGGGGGGGTTGGTTAGCCGTTTGGTTTCCTGTCTTTTAAGTCCCGTTGAGATCTGTGAACAGAACCTACCCAGCCGCTGCGGAGAGTGTGCAAGTCGGATCCGCAAACACCACAATGGGTGACCTTAATGTCGACGTCGGTCTCCTCCCATTCCTTGGGCTCGAACTCCTGCCAAACCATCTTTCCATCTGCCGACTCGGGCGCCAGGCCCATCCAGCCTTCGAACTTGTAGTCTGTCTGCGCCATGCTTGGTGTTCCTTTTCTGGGGATTAATGTTTAGAAAGGAACCAGCCGATCCGGACCCGGTCCCATGGGCCATTTATACTGACTCGACGGCTCTACGGCTCTACTCCGGACAGTCCATGGGTTTCTGCGGATATAGCGGGTCTTGAAAAGCCATGGTCTCCACTCCTGATTGTATGTGCGTGACGGTGAAACCCAATGTAGACGGGACGAGGGTCGGTTTTGATTCGTCTTTTAGGGCTAATTGGATTTTTCTAAGGTTTCTGTGAGTCAGGTACAATGTGTTGCCGTACAATGTGCTCATTGGAGGTCAGTAAGGTATGTATATGCCTTGCAGCATACTCTGTCTCCTTCTCTCTTGTGTGTTTTATTTTATTTTACTTCTAACGATAAGGGCGGCGATTTCTCGGTGGTCTCGTTTGTTCACAGATTTAATCGGCACTAATGCGCCGAGACGGAATTCAAATCCTTAATATCAGATCCAACGAACGGTCTGGAGCTTGTAATCCAAAACACTTCAAAGTAGATCTTACGTCAAATCATCATTATCACGCCATTGGCATTGGATATGACCGCGAAACGCCAATTACCTAAATGTTGTCAGAGCAGCAAATCAATTCTATGCAATGGAGTCCCTCCACTGACCCCAACCCCAACGGCTCCACTACGAGGGAAGAAACGGAAGAAAACGAAGAAGAGAAAATTGGAGACCAACGGCACTGCTCCGTACATGTTTACTAATGCCGGGATTGCTTGTATTTTCGGCATTCGAAAAAAGTTTCCGAGGGGACGGCCAGCCGAGTCGAATTGGACTCCGTCGGCCGACTCGGGATCTGCCTCTCTGACTTGACCGTCTTGCGACGGATGGGTTTATGGTTTAGATGCTCAAGATACGTGAAGCGGTAATTGGTCTAGATTTCGTCCCTAGCATGGTTGAGAAATAGACATGGAGGATCGAAGAAAGGATGCTCAGGATATACAAATAATCACAAGTGAAGAAGAATAAGGATGAAAAGGTCACAGCGAACATGGCTGGCGAAATCAAACAATGAAGACCGTGGAAATCTATACCGAATGCAAGGATTAAGTCATCTTTTGAAGCACCTCCACGCGGACCTGTCTTCGGCTATACATATTGGATCCCACCCATATCGACGCTGCGTTTAGAACAGTGACAAAATGTCCTCGTTGGTCTTCTTGGGCTGGCTTCCTTCCGATGGTGGTGATGTGGTGTTCGATGATAGATCCAGCCCGGCGAAACCATTCATGAGGTCTGCGCTAGCACTATTACCGTTGGGGGCTGGGGCCGAGGCTGTAGCACCCCCGCCGTCACCAAACACGCCCAGTAGATCGTCCAGATTGTTGCTGCCCGCCGGAGCACCGGCCGCGGGTGACTCTACCCGGACAGGTGTGCCTGCAAGGCCTTCAAGGCCGGACATGCCGCCGCTAGGTTCCTTCTGAGCGGATGCTGGTGCGCCCCCGTCGAAATCGATATCCAGAAGATTTTCAACATTGTTCTGACTCTGGGGTGGCGGAGCCTTGCCAGTAACTGCCGCCGCAGCTGCCGCCGCAGCCAACGGGTTCTCCCGTGCATTTTGGATTTGTTCCCTAGAGAAGAACTGTTAGCGAAGAGAGCAAAAGTTTAGCCTAACTAGCAGGGGGGACATACTCGATGGCGGCCCTTTGAACGGCGTCGGCACCAAATCTGCCTTGGCCCACGAATTGCTCTGGTGGCTTGTGGTATACTGAGGCGAGGGTAGAAAGCTCGGTGAGGAGTTGTTCGAGAAGTGCTGGTGGGAGAGAGTGGATGGTAGTCACGATTGGTGGCTTTTCAGAGAGCATAATGTTCTTCGTGGCACCAGGGTCGCTTGTGTTGGATAGCAAGCGCCAGTACACATAGGCTCGGTCACGAACGTCAGGGTTGTCGTTCTCCGCCGTTGCGGCCTGCAGGACCTTCTGCACCAGTCCCTGGGCCTTCTCAGGCCGTTTTACGAAAAGTTTAACAACAGCGGTGAGGATTTGTAGCTGCGTTTGCGAGAACTCTTCATTGAACCCTTCCACGAACCCGCCTAGAATGTCTCCAGCATTGTTGATCTTCTCCGCATACTCTCCCACGATCCAGATGAGCGCGGCCCTGGCGTTAGGCTCATCAAGCTCATCAATGCACTTGCAAAGAGTCGGAATGATGCCTTCGTAGCCAGGATACTTCCGGAAAATGTCCTTGATCACCACGATGGCCTCCTGTACCACGTAGTTGACCTTCGTGTTGATCAAGTCCAACAATGTGTTAACGCACTTCTCGCTGGCGTTCTCAATCTTGATGGCAACCTGACCGATCGCCTTGACCGCGCGCCGCACAAAGTCCATGTCCACTTCCAGGGCGTATTCCTTGAGTTCTGCCAGAAGCTGGTCGACATTGCGGTCGTTGGCAATGCGAACCATGATCTCAAGCTTCTGGAATTTAACGTAGGGCGGGTCGTTGTACTTGCAGAAGAACACACGGAGCTCTTTGTTTAGAATATCCGGCTGTTTTTGCAGTAACAGGTCGATATTTCTCAGGGCTACATATTGCACTTCGGGAGCGGATGAGACAAGGGTCACTAGAAATTAACCATCATTTAGATCGTCTCCATAATTGGGCTGAAGGGGGCTAAATTACCCAAGGGGGGAGCCATCTTTTTCAGATAGTTCTTGGAGAGTTCATCTTTGATATTCCTCATGTGCAAAAAGACGACCTTCACGGCGGCCAACACAACACTGGGATTCGCATGCTGGAATTGAGGGGCCACGCGTTCACAGATATGCTCTGATTCGGTGACCTCAGAAGTCCGATACTCTGCCAAAGTTGTGAGAATCGTAACTCGACCCCACTCTGTGCACTCGTTCAGCGCCATCAATAGCTTGCGTAGCGTATTGGCTGTGACCTGGAGCGCATTGGTTTCAGGCGCGGCGTGATAGATCTCCGACAGCGCTGTCACCGAGTTCGCAACCACCATGGGATTGGGGTCTCCAATCATCTCCTGAAGCATTTCCAGGAAGCCATTCTCCATACACAGGTCGGGGTTGAGATCGAAAAGCTTGGCTACACAAATCGCCGCTGTCTTGCGGACATAGGGCGACTCATCGCGGAGAGTCTTCCGGAGGGGCTCCTCCATGTAGTCGACCATCTTGTCCACTCGGATACATCCCATCGTTCGGATTGCGAGCGCTCTGATCAGAGGATTAGGGTCTTCGGAGTCTTGAACGAAGGTATTCACGGCGAGAATACAGAGGTCCGGGTGAGATTTGGCGTAATTCCTGATTGCCGCGCATCAACTATCAGCATGCAGAGCGACCATCGAAACAGTCATGGGCCACCCACATCAGATACAGGTATACTAATTTCTTCTGTTCGAGATCGCTCGTCGCAATATTCTTCAGGACATCGGGGAAAAGGGCAGATACATCTTTTCCCAAGGTCATGGCCATGATGGTTTTTTGGATAGCCTCCTTTCTGTGATCGGGTCAGACATCTTCACTGAATTCGGTATGGGTGCCAGATCTTCGAGAGTCAACCGGAGACATACCGTTCGTAGGCATATTGAGATCTGTAATTCTGGTTAGTGACACTGGCTGGAACGCGTAATGACAAGAAATTCGGAGTGCATACACAAGTCCAGCTCGCAATTCGAATGTTTCTCCTTTTCTAGGCACCGCAAAGGCGCCGCGTATCCTGCTCATAGCCATCGTGATTGAAAACAAGCTCCACAGCGAAGAGCGACGTGGGAATTAAGTATGCAAGAGTGTCCTTGCGGACCACTGCGGGGAATTTGGCGGCGGCGAGAGGTTCAGGGATACCGTCGGTGGGTCGGGAAGATGGCGTTTCAAATGGCTGGGAAGATTAGGGTAAAATCAAAGCGTCATCCCCAAAGGCCCAGGTTGCGAAGGAAAAAGGGGGAATGGGCGCAGTTGAGGGAGAGCGGAGAAGACGAGGTGGAAGTGGATTAAAGGAAAGGGTCTCATCATGTGTCTGGACCCAAAAGTTGTCCACAAAAACGCGGCTCTGCCTTTTAGCATTTAAGGCCGCGGAGCTTAATTACCACGACCACGTCTCAGTTACTCCAGACAAAGATCCCTTGGCATTATACACGTCGACCGCATGGTAAGGATTCCGTAATGAACTTTACATATAATCTTCTAGTATTAACATGCTTCGCAGGCGAATCTTCCCAATCTCCGGCGGTTATTCGTCGAGGCCAGAACGGAAGCCGAGGAGAACGAATACTCCAGGACTGCTGTGAGCTATTGATAACTCCACAACCGGATATCGAGTCGGAATTCTGACTAGGATCCACGCAGTTCTATAACCTCGTCCTCTTTATCTCCTCGGTCGCAGTGTTCAGCTTAGCCGCGCAGCGCATAGGAGGGACAAAGACCGGAAAATGACAGAGCCCCCTTGGTTGACAAAACTATGGATCGAACCCTGCCTTTTTTTTGCCTGATTCTTCTCTCCATCTTCCTCTTCCTCCTCTCCTTTCTGTCTCTATAAGAACAAAAGAAGCCTCGTCCACGTTCCCCAGCACCACCATCCATAACAATTCGCTGCTGGCTGCGGCGGAGATCTCCACACCTCCTAACAGATAAAGAGATTGTAAGCTCGCTCCACATTAGTTATTTCCAGAGAAAAGGCTAATCAGAAGATTCGGACCTAGGTATTTGACATGTTGAATTTACGCATTGAGCTGGAGAAGGCAAGAGCAGAAGTCACTGCAAAGGAACGAAGACTAGCAGAGCTTGTTGAGGAGCAAACCATCCGCAGTGTAAGTGTACTTGGACTGTTACTTATGATTACTTTGGCTAATGGAATATATCGTGAACAATAGAACTCCAGCAAATCCATCGAACAAAATCATGAAAAGGAAGATTAGGCGTCTAGCCATCAATCCGTCTCCTCGCCGTCATCCTCTAAGAAGGCAAGGTGTTTGCGGCCTCGGTTTAAACGTCGTCCTGGTCGCCCGCTGTCGCTTTCTTCGTCGGCATCACCTTTACCATATAGCCTTACCTCCTCTTGGCACGAGACGACGTCAGCTTGAAGCTCACGCCTTTCCCTGATCTTCAAGGCTTTCCTTTCAGCTTCCTTTCCCTTCAATGGCCCTATCATTCCTGCCTCCCTGAGCATACCCTCAAGGTGCCCGATCTTCTCCTTCGATGTCTCATATGGAGCCAGCAGTCGCCACCAAAGTTTCCGGATCCCGCATTTTACCAGCAAGTCTTGCAACTCCTTTATCTTCTTTTGGTCTGGGTCAAGGTCCGCGTCCTTCGCTTTAGATGTGGTCGTCGTCTTCTTTCGTTTTTGGGTTGAAGCTTCGGTACCAGCACTTTTCTGTCGTTTTCGGGTCGGCTTAGGCTCTTCGTCAAGAACCACGGACATTTCACTCTCGGAGTCCTCTCCGCGGTCATTCTTTGGTTCCTCGGCCTCCTCTGATGGGGCGACGTCATCCTTCTGGTCCTCTACATCCTCCGAGTCATCCGACACCAGTTCTTTCGATGGCTTCGATTTGGAATTCTTTCCGAGAGTTGTTTCTGATTGTTTTTTAGCGGGCCTTTTCACTTCTTCTTCACTCTCATCGTCCAGTGGTGCGCTGCTTTCACTCTGGTCTTCCGGTTCTGGTGTACTCGTTTTTCGTCGCTTTCGCGATGCCTCTGCTTTGTCGAGTTTTGTCCTTTTAGCGGAAGAAGCCTTCTTCGCGGGAGGAGCAGGCTCCTCCGGCTCTTCATCCGATTCCGGTTCTTGCGCCTGTTTATCTTGTACCGCCTGCGGACCCGTAACAGTTAGCTAAATGACGAACCAAATTGTTCAATCACAACCCGATAGCAAAACGTTGCCAAAACATACCACTTCATCCTTAATGATCTGATCACTCTTTGACTTCCAAGTGCTGCTTCCTTTAAAAAAGCCCTCCTCGACCCCGAGAGATTTCTCCGCAGCCATGCGCACCCGCTTCACCGTTAATTCCTCCATATTTCCTAACTTGTAAATCTTCGCGACGGTCTCGCGTAGAGCCTTTTCGAGCGCATCATTGGAAGGGGCCGAAGGGGCTGCGGGTTCATCAGACTCGGATTCGGAATCGGAAACTACACGGCGTCGGGGCGCCATCTCGTCTTCTTTACTGGCTTGGTCTGGTCTTATATACTCTTCGGAGATGAATTCGTAGCTTCCGAGTCGAAGGCGGGCAATTCGCGACGCGACGCCAATTCCGAACTATCGGCCGGGGGCAGATATAGTAGGTTTGGGGATATCGCAAAATTTCAGAAATCGAACTCGTAACACCGAATTGACACGAACAGTCACTAGCCGTGTATAGAAAATAACCGTACGCAACCTCGCAACTAAGTTAGCTTCATCGTCCAGAACGGCAGGAGGTTCCTGGCCAGGCACCGGGAGTTGGAAACCCGGGGAAAGATACGGCTGACAAAGCACTAAATTTATGCTTACTTTTTGGGTCCGGTAGAACAACCAGAAGGGAAAAGAATGGGGGAGAAAAAGGGAAACTTATAAAATAGAACTCGGGGGAGGGTCCTCTCCGTTAATCTCTGTGTACATACATCCCAGGAATCGGCACTCCTCTTCCCTACGAACCGGATCACTCCCGTCGATCTAATCACTGCGCACCAACTCCGCGGTATACCGAGCACACCTCCGAACCGCATCAGGGACACTATAATCGATATTGACGACGGTTGGGTCTCTCGCGAAGAGCAAACAAGTCCGCAATGTCAGCCTCCGAGTCACAACACAGTCTACCCAAGAATCTATTCCCCCACCACACTCCCGCAGCCGCCAGCTCATCCACCGAGGAAAGCAAAGATGCCAATGGAATGACGAAACTGCCCAACGGGGTCATCCTCGACAAAGATGGGAAACCGTACGTCGTCGCACTTCCCTCCTCCAAGCTTATCTTCTGTCCCCAAATTCTCAAACCTAAGCAAACCCACACCCACTAACAAACAAACCCCCAGCTGCCGCCTCTGTACCTCCGCCGCATCCTGGCGCAACCTAACCAAACAAGCCAAAACCCAAACCGCAGCTTCAACAGCAACAGCAACAGCAGCAGCAACAACGACGACGGCCCCGAAACCAACTCCCGACTCCACACCTCTCCCCCAATCGCGAGACGACTGTCCCCCGGACGTCGAGGCCCTGGGCCGTTCAACATGGACCTTCCTCCATTCCCTGACGGCGTCGTACCCCGTGAAGGCGACGCAGGAACAACAGGGCGAGATGCGCACGTTCCTGAAGATCTTCTCGCGCTTGTATCCGTGCTGGGTGTGTGCGGATGATTTCCGGACCTGGATGGCGGAGCCGAATGGGCGTAATGAGCCGCGCTTAGCTGGGAGGGCGGATTTCGGGACGTGGATGTGCGAGGCGCATAATGAAGTGAATCGGAAATTAGGCAAGAAGGAGTTTGATTGTCGCTTGTGGGAGGAGAGGTGGAGGACTGGGTGGAAGGACGGAAGGTGTGATTGATTGATGGTTATTATAGAATTGTTAGAGTATAGATGGGTTCGGATTTGTACGATAGCTTGCTGCCATGATTCTCTCTACTCAACTGCGAACTGCAGGTATGGGGACGGCTCTCTCTTCTCTCTGTGTATGTATACATGAATCACTCTTCTTTTTTTTTTCATGAACATCTTGAAGTTGCATTGCGAAAGTAGAAGTTAAGGTAATATAAAACAACGTCGCTGGGAAATTAGTGTAAACAGCAAATCCATACATCTAGTAAGCGGCTTCCTCCAGCCATGGGCGCCACCCTTATCACTAAACTTCCTCCCACGGGAAAGTTATTCGCTTCATATGTTTCACATTGGAGACAGAGAATTACATGACAGAGAATCTTCCGACTCCTTCATCTTCAATGTTGACCTGGAACGTACAACCGTAATCCACTAGCCGGTGCACCGATCTCGGTCACGTCGGATATCCGACACACGGTACCCTTATACTGTTCATGATATTTGGCGCCGGTGAAAGGATCCGAGACGCTTGGGGAGCCGCTATAGATAGGGGTATGGGAAGCAGCGCAGATATCGAACTCGGCAAACTGGTCGAACTCGATGTCAATCTTATCCTGCGGGCTGCGCTCGCATTGAGCCTTGATCTTCTTTGCCTGTGTACTGGTTAGCATCTCACTCGGTGAAGTCCCAACCTTCATCGTCTGACTTACCTGATCAAGGAGCTTGGGGGAGCCACCGTTTGCCAACATACGGTTGGCAAAGCTGAGGGCCGAGGAGTAGTTCTTGTTGGCAAAGGCAAGCTTCATTGCTGCCATCAGTGCCAGCTGGCGATGCGCAACCTCCAGCTTGGGGATAGTGAAGTAAGCAGAAAGCTCGAGGCTTCTCTGGAGGCCTTCTGGGGTGTCGGTACTAATAGCACGGCGCTCTAATTCGATCGACATCGCAAGGATGTATTCCCGAGCAGTTTCAATGATCTTCTTCGCCTGTTCAACCTCGGCCTCTGACGACACCGTGTTCACGAGGAGAGAGTGCAAGATATCCTTGAAGATTCTCACACCGTCCTCGAGCTTGTTGGCCCTCATTGCCGCGTACCCTTCCTGGAGGTCTACATTGGCAATGGTCTCCAGATCCTTCGCGATAACGGGGAGGACCTTGCGCGAATCGGTTTCCTCGACAGTGCGGCGAACGTAGTTAACCAGAGGGGGCAGGCCGGGAGTCGCTGGGAGATACGTCTTGGAGGCCTTATACACTTCCAAGAAACGTGGCTTGAGAGGCGCGAAGTTTACAGCGCCAACTTGGCGATTGAGAAGCTGCATGGCGGTGTCGAAGGAACCAGCGGCGACGTGGTCAGCGGCAAGAGGGGAGTTGCGAGCCCAGAGGTCGGCCTCCGTGCTGCCAGCACCCGCCTCAGCGCTGTCCACATTGACGAAGTCAACATCTTCTTCAACATTGATTTCGTCTCCCATGTCCCATCCGGCAACGTCCTCGTCCTCATCTTCAAGGTGTTCGCCGGCAGTCTCAGCCTCTTCCTCTTCTTCCTCAGCCTCAAAGCCAATAGCCGCAGATTCGTCGTCCACACCAACTTCTCCGAGCAACGCTTTCTCGAACGACGAATGGGCAGCAGCCTTGACGGGCCAGTTCGACTTGAAAGTTGGCACGATAGGGTGTGGTACCTGTTGGACTCCATCGCCAGTGGGGAGAGTGATCTGGTCTTCCGTGAGACCGCAAGCCTCGAGGATCGACTCCGCCTCTTCGGTCAACCCGTGGGTCTTTGCGGTCAGGTATGCTAGAGGATCTACAAGCTGTTAGCGAGGCACCATAATGAAGTTGCTAAATTCGGGACTCACAAAGATCGACCTCCTTGAACATCTGGATCCTGTCCTCAACATCACCACGGTAGATGGCGTTCTGGAATCGGGAAGTGAAATCGCCACGATGTTCAGCAATCTTGGCCATTCGTCCAAGTTTCTCCTGGTCACCCGTGGCCAAGTAGAGGAAGGACAGCTTGTCGAAATTCCGCTGCTTTTGGTAAGCCATCTCCACTACCTGGTGATTGCCATGGGCCAAAGCTTCTGTGCCAAGTCTGCTCCACAGGTTGGGGCGGTCCAACTCTCTTGCCATCTCGACAGCAACGTCAAGGTTACCGCACTCCAGGGCAAGCTCGAAGCGGGTCTGGGGGTCCTGCACGAACTGGAGCGCAATCTCTGGGTAGCCCTTCTTCTGCAGGTATGAGATGATGCTTTGGCCGACAAGGCTAGAGGTCTTGATGATTTGGAGCATCTCATCGTAGTTTCTCTTGACCAGCGCTAGTTTGAACCGGTACTCGGTAGGATCAATTTCCAGAATTCTAGGCTTGGCACTGCGATCCAAGCAGTAGACGTTCCGGCCCTTGACCTTGACGAGATAAACAGTCTGGTCGAGGGTGCGAATGATACCATTGTCACTTTTACACAATTAGCATGCGTGCTTCATCAGAAAGAAGATAAAACGTACCCATTAAGGAGAGAGTACTTGACGTGGTTCAAGGTGGAGTAGAGAAGGACGCCAGCGTCATCCCAGGCGGCGCTCTTGATACGAATGGTCTCATGCAAGCTGCTTACTTGCTCCAGGGATTTGCTGACAATCGTCACATTATGCTTGCTGAGCAAAGCTGCATAAAGGCCATCGTTGGACCAGACAACGTATTTGACGCCGCTGACAGCCAACTCAGCCAACTGCTTCTTCTGCTGGATATCGAAAAGAACGACGTTGGTGGGAGTGACAAAGAGTAGACATCCGGTACCGCCAAAGTAGATATCGGTTGTACCTGGAGGAGGTTTGATAGTCTTCGTTGTTGAGTTGCTCAAGTCCTTGATGTCCACTTGCTGGTTCGCTTGGTTGAAAACAGCGAAGCGATTGCGCGCGACAAAGACAGCAGAGGAGGCCTGGCCACGTTTGGCGTCAGTCGGCTCCACGGCACCAGTAGCATCCCGTGGGAGGTGAATCAGCTCGTACACGCCACCATCTGTTGGAGAAGTAACCAGGATGGCACGCTCAGCGGGGTTGTACGAGACCGTCCTTGGAGGCACCCAAGGGGAACCCAGTTTACGCAACGAGAGCATCGGCGGAGATTCGACGTTCTTGGCGAAGTCATACGACTTGACATGCTTCTCCTTGGTAATGTAGAAAAGCTGGTTCTGGTAAACCGTAGAAGCTGGCCTCTCGCGCTCCAACTTGAAAACCATCACACCAGTGTCGTGACCTGCCGCAAAGAGATTGATTTCAGGATGAGCGGCAATAACCCAGAAGCGATCCAGATCACGCTTGAATGATTGCACCGAGGTTCTCTTATTCAAGTCCCACGCTCTGATTGTTTTATCTTCGCCGACGGAGAGGATCAAATCTTGGTGAGGGTGAAACAGACAGGCTGAGGCATTCTGGAAATGACCGCGACATGTATCGACTTCCCAGGCTTTGGTGTCTATCGTAAAATGTTAGCGACCCTAAACCACGGATGGAAAGCGCTTAGTCGTAACATACCGCTCATCCTCCATAACTTGATCAAGCGGTCGTCACCCGCAGAGACAATCAGGGGCAGAGTGGGGTGGAAGGATACCCAGTTGACACCTCGGTCGTGGCCCTCCAAGACAAACTTGACAACTGCATCGGTGTTTCCAAACATATCCGCTTGGCTGGGGTTGGCCCGAGCCATCTGGTCTTCGAACGACATAGTTGTCGGCGCAGAATGCTTCTTCCGCAAGCCCGAGATGTCCCAGATACGCACAGACTGGTCTAGGGAGGCTGAGGCAATCAGGTCCTCGGTTGGGTGAAACTGCGCGCACATCACATAATGATTATGGCCCGTCATCGTACAGACTGAGGGCTCGAAGTCAGTTTTGTTCGAGATAGGTGGCCAGATCCCAACTTACTCAGTGACCTGTTCTGCCAGTTCCATATCCGGATTGTTTGGTCGTCCGACGCGGAAAGAATCCAAGGCAGCTCGGGATGGAAGAACACTGTGCGCACATAATCAAGATGGCCATTGAGGGTGAAAAGGCATCTCCGCGTTTGGTAATTCCACACTTTGATCTTGTAGTCATCGCCTCCGGACACGAAGAGGGGTTGTGTAGGATGAAAGTCAATGCCTCGGACGGGGCCATCGTGTTCTTCGAAACGGTCAATGAGGGTTCCCATGCGATAATCCCATAGCTGGATAGTCGACGAATGAAGCGATACTAAGATCCATGGCCTGGTTCCGTCAGGGTCAGCGGTGCTTGATTGCGACGCGTGGGACGCTCAGTCGTGGACTAACCGCTTGGGATGGAAAGCGATTCCCTTCGCTCTGGATGACTTCGACTCGAACTGTGCAGGGTATGATGTTTAATAGTTGCCCTTGAAACTCCAGAGCCAGATTGTCGGGGGGGCATTGGAGGGGAGGACATACCTTAGTGAGCATGTTTGGGGAGGACTGCATCTTCAAGGAGAGTTGGCCGGAGCCGCACCATAGAGAAGCAAGCTCCGCACGCTAGATATAAAGAGATCACAAAAGCGACCACCTCATCCACTGCTGGAACGGGCAGAATGGCAGAGGATCACGCAGGTAAGGTCGGGGAGCGTCTGGACTCGGGGACAGTCTGGACAACTAAACTAAGAGCGATGAGGCGGTAAACGTGGACTTATTGTGTCGCCCGCCGGGAGAGCCAATAAGCGAATCCGGTTGGGCCAATGATGGGCCCCGGCGGTGAGAAGCTGCCAGGGGAACATCAATTGCCTTCCCGTAATGAACTACAACTTGCTCCGTTTCATACGAGAGACAATTCGATGAGAACTCTTGATTCACACACTGGAGATCGATGAGAATGGACTAGATGTTCAGACTAACTTTTCTAGGGCCCCATACCATCTATTTCCTCTTCGAGAATGCGGTCCCCAATCACTCACCATTACCCCGGACACTCCTCCCCGCCGAAGAACAACCGTGGGCACCTCCACTAACACACATCATAAGTACGACTCCAGGGCAGTCACGCCCTCAGTTCCAATTAGTCACTCTGCAGAATATTCTCGAATAGAACACATACGCCAACCCTAATGCTGTGAATCCGACCCATGTACTGTACTTTTCATTTCTTTCTTTGGCATGACTGCAATACATCCCATTCCAGACGTTCTTATCCTGGACTTGGGCTAGCGTGATATGTATGAGATGTCCGGAATCTACGACACTGCTTCTAGTCCATTCCAAGCCTTCACAATGTCAGATAATAAACAAGAATTTACACCATCCCAACAGGGTCAGAATACATGCAATGCACCCGCAGAGGATCCTTTAATCCAGGACTCCGACCATAATGCTCCTGTTGTGGTGCAACCATATGCTATTGAGGAGCCGGAGGACGATCCTCCCCCTGTATCTTTCAAGCCTGCTATTACTTTTCTTCCGGGTCCCAGTTCTGAGAGCTGGCAAACCGACCTGGTGGATTCAATGGAAGACCTACACTGTGAATCTGACAATAATATCACCAGGCCGACATCAAGATATAACCGAGGCAGGAAAAGGAAGCCGTCCAGCACTGCTACTGGAGGGTTTCAAGTATTCCAGGGACAAGGTCCGGGCATGTCACACGATCGACGATACGAAGAGGGACCCAATCTTAAACTGAGAAAGCTACGCAGAAAAACCAAGCAATCAAATGGGGCTTTATGGACTCCGGCAAACAGCCTTTCGGACGTCGCACTTAGCGAGTTAGAGTCTTCAGAGAGTTTCTGTTCAAGATCTCCATCGCTCGAAGAGACTGGCACCGACCCCAACCAAGAGGCTACTGCATCGGAGCAGATGGATCTAGATTGAGAAAAAGACCATGATGAGAATCGTTGACATCACTACTTGCTCTCCCGATCTCGATTGCTGATGTCACGTGCCCATAGGCTTGTTCGAGTCGCACTAGTCCGGAAAAGGCCGTTGACATAGATGACGTCAGACGGTCCTCATCGCCGGCTGCCCACTGAGGGAGCACCACAATTCACTTCTCTCGGGTCGAGACCCGCCTCGTAGCTTGTCATCTTTCAATTATCTCTTAGTCTGACTTCCTATCATCCAATTGGACCCTCAATCCTTTCATTGAATCGTTGCTTCGCTCACAATGGCCGCGACTAGGACTTCGACACGCCAAGCCGCTCAGAAGGCGAAGGAAGCCATAGCAGCCGGTCCAGACTCTAAGAGCAAGAGTGGGGCGGGTGCAAAGCGTAAGGAAGCTGCGCATAAAGGTCCCGAGCCGAAGAGGAGCAAAAAGGATGACCAGAAGCCTGCGCTGGATGAAGACCAGAAGGTGGAAGAGCGAAAGGAGGATGTAGAAGGGCAAGTAAAGGAAAAGAAGGAGGAACCTGTTCAACAAGGAGCAGAGGGAGAGAAGGTTCAGCCGGTTGAAGAGCAGGCGGAGGGAGAGAAGGTTCAGCAGAATGAGGAGCAAGCAGAGGGAGAGAAGGGGCAGCAGAATGAGGAACGCGCAGAGAGCAAGAAGGAAGAGCCTGAACAAGAGCAAGCAGTGGGAGCGAAAGAGGAACAGAAAGAGGAACAGGTAGAAGAAAGCAAGGAAGAACAAGGGAATGACAAAGAGGAACCACTGAAGTCAAATACTGATCAGGACAAACCTGCTGACGGTATCAACTCTTGTACACGCTTCGAGTGGCATCATACTAACGACGCGTAGAGCAACAGAAGCCCGCTGCTGATGGGGTTGAGTCTGAGGTTCAAAAGTCACAGGAAAGAGAGGAAGCCGTTCCTTCGAATATACTCGAGAAAGGCGTGATCTATTTCTTCTATCGACCCCGAGTTAACGTGTCCGAACCACATAGTGTGGAAGATGTTGCCCGAAGCTTCATTGTACTACGTCCAACTCCTTTAGGGGCCTCTCTGGATCAAACGCAGGGGTCTTTGGAAGCTGGCGCGAAGTGTCGACTGCTGCTATTGCCTAAAAAGAAATTTCCAACGAGTGGGAGGGAGAGATATATGGGTTTCGTTGAGAAGACTGGACAGACGATGAAAGAGCTCCAGGAGAACTTCATCGCTGGTGAGAAATATGAAACTTTGACCCATGGCGAACGCACTGTGCCGGAAGCCAAGCCGTATGCCGAAGGCGTCTATGCGATTACCTCCACCGAGCGAGCTTCGCACTTGGCGTACATTTTGACCATCCCTGGGGAGGTCGGCCCTCTTCAGGAAGACTTTGGCCTTCACGCGCGCGGCAGCTGGATTGTACAGTCGAAGAACCCGAAGTATCCGGGCCCTTCCTCGGCGCAACTTCCCAAGGACCCTGAGTACCCTGAAAGGTTTGCCACTGCCCTTCTCAATTCTGTCTATTGTCTTAGAACTACGACTGATTTTGCTGGGTAGTGTTCGCGAAAAGTTCCAGGATTATCGCTGGGCGCCATTGACACCTGAGTTCATTGACTACCCCAACGCCCAGTTCCTGATAATCGGTGGAGCTACAAATGACCTTGGAAAGGCTGCTACCGCCGAGCCTGACGGAAAGCGGTCTGAAGAGGCGCAGCCCGGGGAAGAGTTAGAGAAGTTGGAGGGCGAGAACGAGGAGAGAGTTGAGTCATTGGATGGTAAGAGTTTCTTGAGCCCCATGTTGAAATATGTACTAAGGTTTGACTAGGGGATGATGCTGTATACAAAGATCTGGGACTGGATGCGAGTAAGTATCCTAAGGTGCCAACAACTTGGGATAGTTAGTAGTCCACTCAGAAAGGTAAAACTTGCTGAATGAGAGAACAATGTATAGTATGCGTGAATACCAAAATTAGGAGTAAGGATGGATGTCTGATTATCTTGATACTGGTAGCATATGGAGATTTATCACTGGAATATAAAATGAGCTATACCTGCTAGGTAATCAAACCACAACCAATGTCAACCAGATCAAGAATGCAATCAGATACAATTCCACCAATGTAGATTCATGTAGTTATATGGGATTATTCATTCGGCAAGTCCACCACGAACGTGGCAAGATAATCTGGTTTCATATTAGACTTCGAAACTCTTGAGGTCTCGGCACTACAATTGAAACCGATCATGGAAGACTTTCTCAACAAAACCGGAGATACATGCCTGGAATAGGAACTCGAAGGTTGCATTGTTCTTGTCTAAAGCCATTAAGCAGTACTTAGGGTCCAATCCAGGAGTCATGAATGAACGAAGCAGATCGCCTTCGACATTTGTTCTGGAATACCTCCACAGGTGACCCCCTGACAGAAGCCCTAATGCAACGTTAGTCAATCCCAGACAGAGATGAGACAGCCACCACGAAACAGACATAGATAGGCTCTAGACCCCTTCACTAATGTAGTAACGTTCTGGAACAAACCCTGTCTGATTGCGTAAAAGGCTGAACATGAAACACCACAAGCGCCTCAAGAGGGTCCCTTGTATCGACCCAGACTCGAGAGCATCAGACCATCAGATTCTTCAAGGATATATAAAGACCATACACTACACATAGACACACCAACCAGCCATCTCCCCAAATACAAACACACACACACACACACACACACACACACACACACACACACACACACACACACACACACACACACACACACACACACACACACACACACACA